CACTGGATGTTGGATCCTAGGCACCATTCAACTGAAAATCTTCTTACCTCAGAGATGAAAGATCTTCAAGGGCCAGCTCTACTGGTTCATAATGATGCAGTATTTCAGGATAGCGACTTCAAAGGTTTCAAGAACGTTGGTGTTGGCAGCAAGCGAGAAGATAGATCAACCATCGGCATGTTTGGTCGAGGCAGCCAGACCATGTACCATTTTACAGACAATCCAGTCTTACTTTCTGGAGATTACTTGTTGATCCTAGATCCATTGCAGACATGCCTCCCATTAAACAGAAATTGGCAGGCACGAAAGCCAGGAGTGAAGATTTTGCTATCCAAGCTCAAGCAAGTTCACCCAAATCAACTGGCTCCGTTCCAGGACTTATGGGGCTACGATAGTGATTCTGATCATTATGATGGCACAATTTTTCGTTTCCCTTTGAGAAAACATGTTTCGCCTCTAAGAGCAAAGCAAGAGCCCCCATCTGTTGATTCAGTCCGATTACTCTTGGACAAATATTTTCAAGAAGCTCGAATTTCCCTGCTGTTCTTGAAAGGAGTTCGGGTAGTCAGCTTCAAGGGGCCCGAGGCGAAGGAATTATTTTGGTCGGTGAAGATGAAGAAAAGAAAATCCACATCTGACTACACACTTTGTTCTGCAAAGCAAATGCTTGGCCCGGACGTTACTGCAACTGAAGATAAGTGGTGGGTCTATTCAATGATCGAGGAGACACCTAGCGGTGAATACCAATCCAGAATTAGAAAGAATGTAGAGTACGGCATTGCAGCATTGGTACAATCAGAAAATCAACAGGACACAAAAGCTTTAGATCTACCAACGCCAAAGTTATTTAGCACTCTCCCTTTACCTGAAGCATCTGATTTGCCAGTGCACATACACGCTACATTTTCTCTCTCCGGAGATAGGAATACACTCATTGCTGGAGGCGAATCATCTGAGGCCGAGGGATCGAAATGGAACTCCTGGTTATTGGAAGAAAAATTGGCATACGCTTACTTCACATTCCTGGAAGGTTTGGCCCAGAAGATTGGCTCGGATGTGTTCCAATTTTGGCCGAGAAGATATCCAGCAAATGGAAGTCGCTTAGAACTGTTATGCAAATCTTTCTGGGAGAAGCTTCCTCACAGTTCAGCGAGGCTGTTCCCCCGACGTGTTACAGGCCCTGATGCAACTAACATGAACATGTCTGAGACGGTCTTCGATCTCCTGCAGCCACATTTTTCTAGGCAAATTGCTCCAGTATTAGAACATCTGGTCCCAAATCTATCACCAAATTTCCCTGCTCACATATCCATCGGTATCAAATCGATAGATGTTGCTAAGGCCATAGACCGTTCTGGTTTACGTGAGCTCTTCAAGTCCAAGGAGGCTGGTGACTGTCTTCAGAAGGCGATGGTTGGCGATCCCCATTTGATCGGCAATGTCCTGCGTGAGCTCATCCCAGTAGGAGATGTTTCTCCGGAGGAGTTAGCAGAATTATACGGATGTAGACTGTTACCTCTCGCGGACGGAACACTGGGACAGTTAACGCAGAATCTGTCATCCATGCCTCTGAATACTCGATGTTACTACACCGTTACGAAGTTAGAAGTGAAAATTTTTGACTTCGCCAGAAGTATTGTAATATTTCCAGAAAAAATTGACCCTTACGACCGCATAGGCGAAATTGTTAGAAGCGAGAAGTTCAATGTCAAGGAACTGACAACTTCCCACGTTCCGGAGCTTCTATCCATGAAATCTCAAGGATCTAGGGTTGTAAATGAAAAGACGGATAATTGGCTGAAACTCTTCTGGGATTACTGGAATAAGTTTTCCTCATCCGCTGTGGAGGATCTGTCCCAAAAGTCTAAAACATTTTGTTCTCTGCCATTATTCAAAGCAAAGTGCAACGGTGTCTGGGGATACTATAACATGTCGGAACTGGCAGATCTGCCAGCTATCATTGAAATATCGAAGATGGAACATGAGCAGTTATGTAGATGTATTCCTGGCCTCTACATGATCAGACCAAATCTTATGCCCAAATCGATTGCTGATGGCGAGAAGTCCCTGGACGATCATAAAGCTTTAGGAAGATTCATTAATGCTTTAAGTATACTGGCTCCAGATGAAAACTCAATTGAGCGTTTGTTCGCCCAATTTGCAACTGGCCAAGCTCTCAAGAAATCAAATTTCATCAAGGTAAATTCGTACAATCAAGACTTGTGTCCAAAGTCCCCTTGCTAATTGAAGATATAGCTGCTTCGAGAACTCATCATACTACATGTAACGACAGGTCATATGACTACCATTGAGTACTTGAAGCTCTTGCCAATCTGGCCTGCGTACTTGCCGTTGAGCTCGGAACACAAGTACATCGCAGCCTCATCCGCAAAGTATACCAAGCAACCTCAGCTTTTGGCACCTTGGAACAAGAAACCAACAAAATTTATCGATTTTGAGGCCACAGACTATCCTAGAGCCGAGAAATGTCTAGAATTGATGTCGGTTACTTTGGTTACTGCTGAAAGCTTGATTCAAAATTTTGAGTCGAGGGATTTCCCATCAACTTTAGAGACAATGAATGAGACTGTCTATACTAAATTCATCAGCACTTTAACTGGAATCGTATCTAAGGTGAAGCAGGGTTCCTCTCTCGTCGAGACATTGTCATCCTTAACCCTTGCGGCAGACAAAAACGGTAGAATGCACCCACCCCATGAGTTGTTTGATCACGATGATGAGATTTTTAAGGCGGCATTTCAGGACACCAACCGCTATTTTCTTCATGACTGTGTAAAAGCAAAAGAATTCGACACTCTATGGTACAAGATTGGCCTTCGTCGGCGAGAAAACAATGGCTGCTTCAAGATTCAAGACTACATGGAGTGCCTACGAACTCTAGAAGCTTTAATTAAATCTAGCGACTATGGAAGACTCGTGGATCCAACTTCAATCATACATGAAAGAATGAGAAAAATATTGTCGCCACTAATTGCTCCAAGTTCCGCCACGCATCTATTCAATCACCATGATTGGAACGCACTTGCACGCAAGATGATTTTCGTAGTCCGAAAAGACAATTCTCGCGAACCATCTTATCGACGAGAGAACATGGACAGACTCTCAGAGTGCAGTACAGCAATCCCATTATCTGACGTCGTTCTCTACAAATTTGCGGCAATCTGTTGGAGCAACACGCAATTTGTGGTCCTGGAACCAACTGCAGAGATTTTAAGCAAGGTGCCAAAACACGGAGAACCATTCATGGTTGAGGTCTGGAAGCACCTTGAGCACATGGTAGAGATATCGAAGAATATCTTGCGCGCAGACATCCCGGATTTTCTGTCGGACCTTTTCGAAATATATGACTATCTTCAAAACAATCTTGTGCGCAGCAAGGACTACTTCGGGGCATATGCTCACAGCTTAAACAGAACTGATCTCTGGCTCAACTTGGACATTTCAGATCCCATGCATGTCACCATTGAAGACTTACAGTCTTCATGGAAGCCTCTTCAGCACCTCTTGCTCATTAGCTCCACTGATGCGCCACCATTAGAGTGTATTCGACTAAGTTTGAGTCCATATGAAAAATTATTGAAGGAACTTGGCTGCAAGTCGATCTATCACCCCACCGTCGAATTGCCCGCGTCTCAGTCAGCGCAATCACTGATTAGCAGTCTTCGCGGCCACCGTAAAGAAAAGCAGATGATAGATATCGTTTTTGTCGCCGAGAACATTCGTTTTCACGCACACAGAGTTGTTTTAGCATGCGCATCTGGCTACTGCACTGCCAGTTTCTCTGGTCGCTGGCGTAATGATCAAGAGATATTCTTGGATTTGATGACGGCTCACACACTTCGCATTCTCATTGATACGGCTTACGAAGAACCAATCAACTGGGAGGAGATGACTGTTGATCCAATGTCCCCTCAAGATGCCGACGCCAATGATCATAAATTAGATTTACTACTGGATTTGCATAAAGGTGCAGATTATTGGCAGATGCTCGCACTGGCGAACCAAGTCGAAAGAAAGATATTGGAGCAGTTCAGACTTTTTATCAGGTTGGATAATGTGAGAGAGTACCAGGACATGGCTGCAGACTCTAATGCTCCTGTCTTTGAAAGAGCATGTAAGAACTTTTGCGAGGAAAATGCAGTGGCTTTGAAGGGATGGGAGGAGGCTGCTGCATCACAAGCTGCTATCGAGGCAAGGAAAAATTCTTGAAAGAATCTATAGTATATCGATGACATGGTATATTGATAAGCGTAAGGTGGTCAAGAACGAGAGTTGAACGAAAAAATGACACAGTTTGTTTTATTTGCATATCGGGGTACTTGAGATATGACAACGGAAATACAAAATGAGCACACAAATACAGGATTAAGATGGAACTAGATGAGATTATCAGAAGTTCAAATGTGATATAGTTCAATGAATCTTTATGACCTTGAAATGGATCCAAATGGACCCTGTGATGACTCTTGATTTTAATTTGTGAACTTCGTCCGGGACACAATTCCTGGTTAACCCCTATCCCCTCCCCTTTTATATCTCCCGGTGAGCTTTCTGAAACATATCATGTGAATCTGAAACATCGAAAACCACCCTCTAGTAAACATCAGACCACATCGCATCAAGCCGGACCAAATCATATTATATAAATTAATTTTCAATTTCTTATTACACGCTCATACTAATCTTGTTCCTGTGCCGCTCGTCTATCTTGTACATCCTGTATACTTCATTCACCGACTACCAATAAGTCCCTTCAATATCTGTCATAGTCCTTTCTGCAAATACTGTTCGATATTTTCGATTCCTTCATTTGTGCTGTACACGACTAGAACATCTCTTCGGCTCTCACTGCCCGCATGCAGAAATATCGCTACTTGAGCCTCGAATTCCATGCATAAATTCTTTGACCACGATTTCAATACTTTCCCTACGTTCTCCCGCTATTCATCACTCTGGTCCGAGGACTGGATTATGCCTGCTTATTTCTTACTCCTGAAGAATCCCATCTTCTTCTTCTTTTCCTTTCCATCCTCACCTTTCTTCTTCTCCAATTTGCCAGAGGAATGTCCTGCTCCATCTCCTGCCCCATTTAGAGACATCTGTTGCATTCCTGCAGCCAAAGGTTTGCTGTCATATCCTGGACTCTTCATTGGCGGAGCTGGAGCCCCTGGGCTTCTCTCAGGTCTTACACCTCCAGGTGCATTCCCTGGTCCGCCCGGTAATCCAAGTCCTACTTGGGGTCTGGGTGATGCGACAACGGGTGGAGGAGGAGGCGGATCGTTAGCTTTGAAAAGATAGGCCGGAGCTTTTGGTTTTGGCCTGTCAATTGGTAAATCTAATTGCTTCCTTCCAGCCGTCAAATCTCCCACTTGCTTCAGGAACAAGTTGGGGTTGAGCATATGTGAGGTAGCTAAGAATACATCTCTATTGCAATCCTTTGAAATTTCATAACAAGCTCTGGCTTCTGAGTAAGTAGCTCCACCTGCCATGAAAACAATAATTCTTTGCATGTTGTCTGGTGTGGTACTACGTCCACGAGCCCATGTAGGCTTGGCGCTACGAAGTGAAGCTTGTGATTGAAGGGCCATTTCCTCAGATGGGTCAGTGGGAGGTCTTGTATAAGGGAAGATATTTGGGTCTAAAGTCCCTTTGGTGATTTCCTCGAGACAGCGTTGGAGATTGGTTTCATATCGAGACAGAGCAAGTTCTTCGTTGATTACAGTAGGTGTAGGTTTTGGTGGGAATAATGGAGTGGGTACAGCTTTGGTTTTAGAGTCTGTAAGTTTCTTGGTGGTGTGTACCCCTAGTAATTCTAGGTTTAGAATTTCATTCATTTCTGAGAGGGGAAGCCCAGAATGATGTAAAAGACGTTCTAGATCTTCCGTAATCAAGCCGTCCCGGAATATGACATAAAGTATGATAAGTCGTAATCGTTCCTTAGGAGCAACAGCTGGATTATCTAATAGACGGACAACTTGTGCACCCATCTCCTTGGGTTTTCGGTAATCTTCGTCCAGTCCCGTGGCTAGAGTTTGTTCCGCCAACGCAATTTCTGGGAGCTCATGGTGTTGAAAGATGTTCATACATTCTTGTGCCATGTTCAAATGTAAAGAGTATGCTTCTTTCATCTCCTGAAATTGTGGCAACCCTGCTAACATATCTTTGATTTGACTGATGTTGACATTTTCCGCATCTTGATTGGCGAAATGTGGATTATCTGCGATAAACTTCTTGAAATCGCTCATTAACTTTTGAATAGTTTTACTCATATGTTGATGCCTATTTTCTACCCAAATCTTATCTTTCTCAGTAATTTCCATTTCTTTTTCTTCTTCTTGTGCAGTTCCTTCATTCAACACAGTTGTGTAAGTGACTTTCTCGTGGTCTTTGATTGGAAGGAGGTCGTGTGCCATGGCCTGGTATGTGAACTCGTGCAGTATTGGTGCTAATGTGTCCATTGATCTGTCGGTTATGAGTAAAACACCTTGAGGTCGATTAGTTTGCGGTGGGAAACTGGGGTTATATTGTTGGTACGCATCAAGCTCCTCCTGGACAAATCTGGCTAGATGAGAACAGAGAACCGCTGCTTCGTGTGTAGGATTTTTAGGTCTGTAATAACGTATTTTCGGGGATTCTCCTAGGGAAACGCAGATTCCAGTAATCTATGTATCAAATCAGTCTCGATTCTGTAGCTCACATCGACCAACGAATCCCACCTTTTGCGCTAGAAGTTGCATATGATCGCGCACCAAAGGAGCGCATGCTGGGTGGAATAAGATGGGAAAACTCCAAGGATCTCTGAATGTTATTAGATGCGACTCGCGTGGATAGAAATCTATGGATAGAGTCTCCCATCCGCCCAATTGTTCTTGTGCTTGTCTGGAGGAATCGATACGCCGGCGCATCGTTGGATCGAGAAGGGCAACCCATACTAGGAATGACTTGCGATATCTTCGACGTTCGAAATCTGCCAACAAACAATCGACAACATGTGGTTTCGGGGGGGGGCGATAGAAGGTATATAGCATCCATGCCTGGATTCATTTCCCTCCTGCTTTCGAGTGTTTCCACATCTGCGATCACTTTAGTAGTGCCTCTCAGCACGCATAGACGGACATACTGGCGATGTTCTCGTTGAGAATATCATCTTCCTTTAGGACACGAAACACTATCTTTTTGGTCGCCTCATCGATAACGAGCACCTTCCACTACAGTTGTTTCAGCATATATTCGATCGCGGAGGAGGAAAACATACGTCGCCTCGAGTGATTGACTTTATGGCATCCAGAATAGCTGTAATTCATATTAGTTTGTATACATGTCCCAACATTCGTGAATTCGAGCTTACCCTGGCGCTGTTCGTCAATGGCCGACACCCCCATGATGGGCGGTGTATGACTTGTTGGTGTAGACTTCTAAGAGGTATTTTCGAGAAGGTCAAGTGGTGAAATTAAGGAATATTAATCTTCAGTATCGAATGAGTAGCACAGAATGATTTATTGTGTTTTCTTGTGGTTGTTTGATTGAAAGGGAGTTTGATTCTTGGCGGGGTCATGTTCACATTGGAAACAGAAACATGATGGCTGTTTCGTGAGGCGGCCGCTTATGCGCTAATCCAGAGTGAAGACAGGACGGCACAGAAAGACCAAAGCTCAATCAAAGCTACGACGACATGTTGTTTTATATAGATTTTACAATGTCTCAATATGATTATCATAATTAAACCGATATGAATCTTCTGCTCTCCTTTATCTATATATATTACTGTGTCTATGAATGAGTTCTGTGAATCAGGTGCTCATAGTAATCTAAATACTGTTTACAAATGATTCCCAAGGAGTAAGGGCTCATAGAATGACTAACAAACTGCACGCGATCTCTTCACTAGGGGAAAAGGTGATCGATAGTGGTCTTCCACCTACTATTCTAGATTGCAATCCTTCTAGGGATTAAGATGTTCCTTCTAGGGATTAAGATGTATCCTCTGGACATCCGGCCTGATTTTTTGGTTGATGGTGGAGCAGATCTTTGGTATTAATGCAAGTATCCACAAGCTGTCTCAGGAACATGCGAGAAACGATCAAAGGGAACAATGCAATCTGAGTACTGCGAGTGTAGATATGAAGTACAAGATCATTGGGTCTAGGTGCTTCTACTCTCCGAATTGTCCAGAATCCTAGCTTTCTCGGAGAACGATGAAGCACCTAGCTGGTGTGCTGAGATATCATTATCTTATTAAAAGAATAATGATGTCCCATCAATTGGCAACACTATAATATGGAAGTCACTATGAGTATTAGGCAGGCTTGTGAAGATCAACCTGGCTGGTAGTATTGAGGGTCCCGATATCATCTCACAGACATCATCTCAACGTCGGATCTATCCTTATACTTTGAAGTGTGTCGTCAGGGTTGCAACGAGAAAAGCCATTGCGTCGTCTCTCAGTGTAGACATCGAATGGTATCTATCGATTTTCATTTATACCAAGAGGCACTTGTTTGCTGAGCCTAAGTTCGGCAATCGTATTCAATTAGGGGAAGTGGAGGTCCCCAATAACAAATTCTTGTTCCTTCTTGTTGAATCAATTTCACGTGTTAAATTTTCTTGAAACATTATCTCATTTGCAGTTGAGTCATCTAAATCATCAAAACTGTCAGATAATTTCCACATGCTCACATCTTCCGGCATACTGAACCTCTCGAGTCGTACTGCAATCTAAGATCTAGAGGACGCCGAGAAGGGTCGAATTCGCTGCATATCAATAGCTAGACGGAAGTTCATCTTGCTCTTATTTCCGCGATCCAGGTCGTTTACTATTCCTGTGTTCCAAATACTGATAGCATGGGTTCAATCAGATTTTATACATCCAGCGAACCCAGATGAGAAATAAGTAAGGAACATGAACTATGGGGAAATGGCGGAGGTGGAGGCGGGATTACTGATCGAGTGCTGAATGTCAACTATACAGGGCTGCTTCAAACGACATTTAATCAACTCTATGCTATCATATGACGTGCTACACATAAAATACATAAGCTTTGGAGGTCTTGATTGATAGTATCTTGCTATTTGTGCGCAAATTTAAAGAAATTCAACGTCACGGGGCTACAGTCAAAATTGTATTGATATTGTTCCTCACCCATATAAGCAGCCCATTTACTTCGTTGATTTAAGACAAATTCATCTTTTCACCTGCCGACAAACTCACCAAGTTAACCCAAGCTTATTCCAGTGTGATCCAGCTTCCAATCTTAACCACATCCCTATATCAAATCCCTAGCATCAGACGCCCATTTCACTCCATCCCCAAATACAAAATCTCGACAAACCCTAATAAATCTTCGACTTTTCCCCCCATCCCCCCACTAGCCCCAAACTCCCTTAGTTCACCACTAGCAAACGCCAAACCAAACTCAAAATAACTATAAAAGCTCACTAGATGATCTTCAGTTGCTTTAAAATCAGCACACATATTACGGTACTGGATATTCTTCAGATTAAGCTGCTCTTCCGAACTCTACCGTCTTGATCTTTCCTTATGAATTCATTCTTGCACTGCTGTATTGTTGGATATGCACGCCGTACTCCAAATAAGAGACTGAAGACCTTGGGAATTGCATGGCCAACTTCTTTGCTACCCTGGAAATTCTGTAAAGTTTTTGTTGCACATCTGTCATACCATGGTAATTAGGGAATTTCCATTGGAAATTGAGAGATTACCATGGAAAAATGCGATATGCAACAAAAATCACGTTTCTCCTCTGCTACCCCTATAGACGGCTACTTCCTAATCAAACAATGTACCAGTCCAGATCGACATACCTCTCCTATCACATATTACAAATCACAAAGCAATTGAAATAGTACACAAAACGCAGTGGTTAAACGTGCTTGAAATTATCATTCACGCGAGAGTAAAACCTCTCCACAAATATAGCTAGCTAAATAAGGGGGATCTTGGTATCAAGTCAAAACTTGCATCACACACGCTCGACGCTGACGCTACGTAGGTAAATCGCAACCTCTCTCAATGCTGTCCTCAACGCACAAACCGATTCAACTGACAAACATCTGAGATCCATTCCCTGATAATCCAGATAAGTGTCACTAAAGGTCAAAAGATACTCTACATACACACTTTTACGGCCATCGTTGACAATCATTCCTTGTAAACTTCGATACCCATCCATCCCTGATATCATTCACCACTTTGATGATTTAAGCGATTATCCTCTTACCCACACATGTGCAAACTATTGTCGTCTGAATGCACCTTGTGGAGGAGGTGGCCCACGACCGTCAAAAGGAAATGACGGCATGCCCTCCGCTGAGAAAGGACTCATAGCTGGTGGAAGAAAACCCGGCGGTGGGCCGTTGAAGTAGGCCGGATTGAATGGCATATTTCGAGGGCCCGATAGTGCATCTGGAGGAGGAAAGTTGCTCATGTTGCCAGGCATTTGAAAGCCCGGCGGGAGAATTTGCTGAGACATTTGCATCGGGCGTGGGACGTTTCCGCCTAGACCAGGAGGGGCCGTTGGTCGGAATTGTTGCGGAGGAGGCGGGTGTTGAGCGGAAGGTTGCCCTGGCCAGCCTTGCTGCTGCAATTGCTCGAGACCTGGAGGTGGTCGTGTAAGAATGTGTGTAGGTTGAGGCCGAGGATTATCATGTTGTGGAGGAGGTCCACCCCGATAAATGGGCTCATCAAAAAATCCAGGTGGGCGACGCTGTGGATTTCCACGTTCGCGCTGAGCTTGTAAGTCCTGTTCTCTCTCCAATTGTTGCTGATGTTGGAGTTGACGGCTAGGTTGCTGTCTGGGTGGATGGCCAAGGATGATCTGCTCTGTTCTTTGAGGCTCTGGAGCTGCTTGTGCTTCTCTCATGAGGCTCATAAGAAATGCAGTCTGTTCAGACCGAGGCTGTTCACCTCTGAAAGAAGACTGACTGATAGCATGCTGACGCTGGTTGACCAAATGATTCAACATTTCTTCTGGACGTACAGTTGGTTGACTACCTGCTTGTTCACGTTGAGCGCTAAGATCATGTAGATTGTGGGGGTATAGATGAGCAGCCGGTCTCATTTCATCATGACGGTCTGGAAAACGCTGCTGCGAAGAATCGCGGCCCTCAAAAGGCGTACTTGGTTGGGTATCTTGTGCGGGAGGTTTCGATTGCATCATAGGATTAGCAGGAGGAGTTCCACTGGATTGTAGCATTGCAAGTATCATTGGCATTGCTTCTTTATCCGCAGGGGATTGAACATTGTTGGTCAAACCGTCAAGTCTATGGGCCGCTGGCTGTGGTATAGCTGTTTGTGGTTCCGCTTTATGCGAGGTCTCATCTTGAGTGAAGAATTTGTTAAATCTGGAGGTTTTCCCACCCGGTGCAGCGGAAACGGCAGATTTCGTCATGTTTTCTGTATTCAGATCAAACTGTGATGCGAGTCCATTGTCATTCTTTGGCTGAGCCCACAAACGGAAAAATTCATCTCCATTAAACCCAGTATCAAGTGGCGCAAGAGAGATAGGCTTTTGTGTGCCAGAGATAGAAGAATGTTCGTCAATCCTTGACTGCGTGGCTTCTTCCGCCACTGTATTACCTTTGGCGGTTGGTTTATCTTTGGAATGCATTGCATCTTTCCATTTTTGCATGTCCTCTGCTGTAAATTTGCGCTCATTATTGCCAGTAGATGCGTGCGATTTTTGAAAGTCATCTTGTGGAGCGACTTGAATACTTTCGTCTTCCGCCCACGCTGGAACATCACCATTATGGTCGTCGTGAACTCTGTTCCTGTCTGCCCAGCGCCGGTCACCTCTGTCCTTGTCTCCGCGATTATCGAACTCTTTTTCTCGCCAACTTTTATTTCGATTCTCAAACCTATCTGCATTCGTATTTCGCTCTCGGGGTGTTGGTGGCCCATCGTTGTTCTCTCGGAACCAAGTAGGTTCTGTTCTTCCCCGGCCATTTCCAGTTCTGCGATTATTGTCTTGTTCATGATTCTTTTCCTTGTCTCGGGAGAAATTCTCAAATCCTCTAGGTCTTTCCTTTGGATCGCGCTCTTCTCGATCCTTGAATCGCTTTTCATCTCGGTGCCTCTCTCCACCCATGCGCCCAGTAAACCGCTCAGCTCCTTCAGTACCAAAACTCTTTCGAGGTTTCACCTCCATCCAGCCCTCCTGGTCGACACCATCACCAGGCTTCGGTCGCAGCATATCACGCCGGGGACGATCATCACTGTCATCGATTTTTGTACGATAGCTGAGTTTGCTTTGCGACTCGGTTTCGCGAAGGGCGGGTCGATCTGGAGAATCGATACCTTTGCCTGCATTACGAGCAGGATTGGCGGATGAGAATGTAGTTCTCGTAGGCACAAGTTGAATCGTCT